ATGGAGGGATGGTCACTGGGAAGAGGTAACTATGGGGAGGAAGTGGGAGGGGAGCTGTTGCATTGTGGTAAACTGTGGTCAGTGACATGAGACAAAGTATATGTGAACTGCCGTATGGAAAGTGAATTTGCTCTGTAAATCTTCACCCAAATAAAAATAAATAAAGTAATTAATTAAAAAAATAAAATAAAAAATAAAAATCATAATTGAAAAAAAAAGACCAAGTTTACTGGTCTGATAGACCCTGATGAGACATCCAAGACTATGGCCCCTAGTTACCTTTCAGATCTGGAATTGAACTCACTCCTGTGGTTTCCAGGCAAACAACAGACAGGCATATAGGGTAAACATTTACATCAGGTAGATACACTCCTTAGAACGATCAATCATGGGAGAACAGAAGGGCAGTATTTGCACAGGGAAATAGCTCAAGGGGCAGGAATGCACAGGAGAGAACACAGGGAAGAGGTTAACTACAGGGAGGAAGTGGGAAGAGAGCTGTTACACTGTGGGGAAGTACAGTCATTGTTATGAAACAAACTGTATATGAACTGCTGTATGGAAAATGAATCTGCTCTGTGAACTTCCACCCGTATCACAATAAAATTTTTTTTTTTTAAATCACAATTGAGCTAACATATATTAAACTAACATTTATTAAGCACTTAGTCCATGTCAGGAAGCTTTAAACAATGATAATAAAATATTAATTCATTTAATCTTCCCAGTAACTTTATGAGGTAAGCTCCACAATCATCTTCATTTACAAATGAAAAAAACTGAGGATAGAGGGCTAAGTAGCTTGCTCCAGGTCAAATAGTTAGCAAATCAGGCAGCCAGGATTAAAGCCCACAATGGCGGACCCAGAGCCAGCCCTACCCGCTGAGTGACGCCTGCCCCCACACCAGGTCCTGTGGTAGGTGCAGAAGGGGCATTACGTCATATTTAATCATCCCATCAATGTCAGGTACCATGGGCCAAATGATTCCATTTTATAGATGAAGAACTTGAGGCTCTGAAAGGCATTTGCCCAAAGTTAAGAGGTCAATTCAGGATTTGAATCCAGGTCTCCCTAAATCCGACGTTCCTACTCACCACCCCACTCTAGACACACAGCAAGAGGACACAGCACTTACTTGCCACCAGGCTGTGTAACTGTTGACTGGATCTTTGCCTCAGTCCCTGTGTTTCTGAGAGAAACCTGAACTCCTGCGGGCCCCAGGAGCTGCCCTTTGCTGAGAACCTGCAGTGGACAAAAAGGTCAGGACCAAGCCAAGTAGCACAGCTCTCCTTCCAGCTGCACTGCCAACCCATTCATGCTCCCAAGATGGAGTCTGCCATCTTCTTGGGGCCAGGCGTCTCTTTGTAAATATGATAGAAACCTCAGATACCTTTCTGAGAAGTGCAAATAGTAAAATAATACAATTTCATTAACACTGTCAGTTAAAGATGCACCATTGTCTCACAAACTAAGAAAGAAAAAGTACCCAGGATGGAGACTCTAATGAGAAACCCACATGTAAAGCTGGGACACCAATGTTAAGGTAAAGAGAAAGAAACCCAAGAAGAATAGCAAGGAAATTTGCACATCTTGACCCTGTACTGGGTGGAGGAAGAAAAACAATCTCTCCCCTGAGAATGTGAACCAAGACCTCCTGCTCAAGCAGGTCTACAGTCTAAATTCACACTATCAAGGAGGTCCAAAGTAACTCAGAGAATTTAACTTAATACTCAAGAGAATCCCTCGGTGAAGCAAATGGAAGCCTCTCTGGAAGAAGCCAACTTTAGTTCACTCACAGCAAGATGTCATCACTATAAAATGCACCCTGACTTTAGACATGGTAAACACAAAAAAAATTTATCGTAAAATTGTTAAAAAAAAAAAAAGCAGCTGTTTTATTAAGAACTTACTTTGAACACAATGCTAAACACTCTGCACACATTATTCTATTTCATCCTCATAAAGGTTCTATGAGGTGAGTACTACTCTGTTCCCTATTTTCAAGTGAGGAAACAGAGGCATGGGAAGGTAAAGACATTTGGCAAGGCCACACAGTTAGCAAGAGACAGAGCAGCATTCCAGTCGGGCAGGCTGGTTCCCAAGCTGCGGCCTTAGCCACTTCCCACGTTTCCAAGAGGGAAACCTTTCCTGTTCTGTCCATGTCCCGGCCCTTGCTCACAGGGGAAGGGAAGCCCACCACAAGTCCACATCAGCCAGAAGTTCAGTCCTTGCATTTACACTCTAACAGTCTATTCTAAGCGTGGAAGTCAGGTGGAGTGAATGACCAGTAACCTACCTGACCCTTTATAACAACCACTAAGTTCTACACACAGTCTTGTAGAGTTCACAGACCCTCTTGAAACTTATCTGTGGGTCCCTTGTAGGATCAAAGTGTCCTGGTGAAAAAGCCCCTTTTTAAAGGCTAGAGAAGACATAGCATCTATTACAGAGCAAGTGTTAAAAACAACAAAGTTATAAAGCCAACCTTGCCATTCACAGAGAATCCCGTGAACACAAAGTTGATGTCTCCTCCCTTCGTGCAGATATCACTGACACCATCCACGTAGAGTTCCACGTTTGTTGGCTCTGAAGAATAAACGGGGTTCGGGAGACAGGGTACACAACAGCAACTTTAGTTTTAGGTTACAGTGGAACTACCGAAGTAAAACACATTTTATTGTTAAGCATTCATTTTACTTCTGAACACTTTAATACACTCAAATGGTTCGACACCCAAAGATACAAAAAGGTATGGGGGAAGTCTCCCTGCTACCCTGTGCCCCAGCCACCCAGTACCCTACCACAGAGGTAACCACTGCTATATGCCTAAGACAGTTTTCAGTCTTTCAGCTGAGCTGTACCACTGAAAACTCAGTGGGCACCAAATAGAGTTATTTATTGAATGCTCACCATGAACCAGACACTGTGCTAAGTGCATTTAATCCTTGCAACTATCTGAAGAAGTAGGTAGCAATACCTGTAATTTATGAGGGGTAAACTGAGAGGCACAGAAAGGTTAAAGGTCATCCCAAAGTCAAAGAGCTTGTGAGTAACACAGTCCCAACTCAGCCCCAGAAAAAGTATGACTCCAGACCTGTGCCCTGACTAAGGATGTGAGTTCACAGCATTAACTAGGGCAATAAACTCCAAAGCCCATGGCAACTGAGTGAGAATGAGTGGGCAGTGCAGACCAAGGGGGAACCACAGCAAAATGAAAGCAGCAGCCACTGCTCAGCTTCTACTGCTTCCTTGTGGCCCAAAGTTGCCAGACCTTCCAATTTCTCAAGAAAAACTAGAAATCTGTTCAATTCTCCAATTTTTCAATATTAACAATTCAATTTTTTTGAAAATACTGAGGAGTTCATCATAACAAGGGTCAGAGCTTTTTAAAAGGTTAAGGGAAACATAGACTAATATAGGAAAAACCGTGAGACACTCAGGTAAAATGAAGAAACACACACACAGGATGTACCCAATAAAAAACAAGCAAAAAGACTTAAAAAGGCAACTGACAAAAGAAGCTATCCAAACGGCCAATAAACATGAAAAAGTGCTCCATCTCAATGGCCGTGAGAAAAATGCAAATCTTAACCACAATAATGACACCACCAAACCTACACCAGGATGGCTAAAGTTAAAAAGACTGACCAGGGCAAGTGCTGGTGAGGACACAGAGCAACCAGAACTCTCGCATACTGCTGGGAGCGCATAAAGTGGTGTGCCCACTGAAGGTTAGCAGGTTTAAACTCTATCAGAGCAATTTCACTCATAATATAAAGAGCCCTGGTGTACAGTGGTTAAAGCAGCTCAGCTCCTGGTTCAAACCCACCAGCCACTCCACGGGAGAAAGATGTAAGAGTCTGCTTCCATAAATGTTTACAGCCAGCCTTGGAAACCCCATGGGGTAGTTCTACTTTATCCTGTATGGACACTGTGAGTTGGAACAGACTCAAAAGCAATGGTTGTCGTTTGGGATATATGCCCAATGGAGTCCATGGCTGGGACAAATGGTTAATTTGCTCTGCTGCTAACCAAAATGTTGGAAGTTCAAGTTTACCCAGATATGCCTAAAAAAAAGTCCTGGCTATCTACGTCCGAAAACTCAGCCATTGAAAATCCTGTGGAGCACAGTTCTACCCGGACACACATGGGGTCACCATGAGCAACAGTCAACTCAATGGCAACTGGTTACATGCCCTACAGAAATGGAACCATATGTACCAAAAGACATGTACGAGAACGTTCACAGGAACACTATTCTTCATGGCCAAAAACAAGAAAGAATCCTCATGTCCATCAATAGCAAAATGGATAGATCACACAAAGTCATCCATCAGAATTCTGAACAAAAAAGAGACCGAACTATAGTGACACAAAGCATCGATGACTCTCACAAACATAATGTTGAGAGAAAGACACCAGAGCAAAAAAGTATACTATATGTTTCCATTTATATGAAGTTTAAAACAGAGAAAACTAACGTAAAAGTTTAGAAATCAGGGTGGTAGTTACCTTTGGGTTAGGGCAGGGTGGTTGGTGAGTGACTGGGAGGGGGTACTTCTCAGGTGCTGGCAAAATTCTATTTGATTATCTGGGTGATAGTTATGCAGGTGTGTACACTTTGTGAAAATTCATCACGTTTTATACTCATGATGAACGAACTTTCTGTATGTATGTTATAATTCAATAAAAGTTTATTAAAAAGCACTGGTGAAGGGAGGGGCAACAAAATTCTTTCGCAGGACACTAATCTGTAACCTCTGCCTTAATCACAGTTGTTGTAGTTAGAAACCCTCAAGTCGATTTTCAACTCATAGTGACCTCATACAACAGAGTAGAACCGCCCAATAGGGTTTCCTAGGTTGTAATCTTTACAGAAACAAATCACCAGGTCTTTTCTCTCGCAGAGTAACTGATGAGTTCAAACCGATGACTTTTTGGTTAGCAGTCAAATGCTTAAATCGTGCCACCAGGGCTCCTACTTTAACCATTGTTTTTGTTGTTACTGTGTGCTGTCAAGTAGATTCTGATTCACAGCCACCATACAGGACAGCATAGAAATATTTACGGGAGCAGATCAAAAGGTCTTTTCTCCCACAGAGCAGCTGGTGGGTTCAAACTGCTGACCTTTTACTTAGCAGCCAAGCACTCAACCACTGTGCAACATTGTTGTTGTTGTTGTGTGCCATCCAGTGGGACCCAACTCATAGCGACCCCTCCTTGGGTTTCCGAGGCAGTATCACTACGGAAGTAGGAATGCCCAACCTTCCTTCCGAGGAGTGGCTTTAATTCCCCTCCAGCTTTTTGGAATACACCAGCAAGGCACCCTCCGAAGAACTGAAGAACCTCTCTACCAGGGCCAAAGTAGCTCTTGGCTGCCATGCTTGACTTTATCCCTTCGTAACAGCTGGGACTAAATTCTTCCTTCTCTAGCTCAGGAACAGGCCAGATATGAACAACTGTGGCTCCTCCGGCCCCCCTGAGCTATAAAACTGAGACCATACACCCCTAACTCTACCAAAAAGTCAAGGACAAAGAGCCTCTCCTCTTTTTGAAACACTTCAGCCACGTCAAAATGGAACCCTCTCTTCTAATCTCAAAAGGAGCCCTGGTGGCACAGTGGTTAATTGACATTATGGCTGCTAACCATAATGTCAGTGGTTCGAACCCACCAGCCGCTCATGGGAGAAAAGATGGGGCAGACAGCTTCAATAAAGGTTTACAGCCTTGGAAATCCTAAGCAACAGTTCTACTCTGCCCTGCAGAGTCTCTATGAGTCAGAATCAATGTCACAACAGTGGGTTTTTTGGGTTCTTCACATCTCAACCCCATTCCTACCTCCCCAACTATTTTATAAGACTACTTTACATAAGTTCTGAGCTTTTGTTTGTATGTATGCAGATGGGCTGTGTTTAAGTATTAACTGAACGCTTACTAATTATGTGTCAGCCATTCTAAACACTTAAATACATTGTCCCATGAAGCCTCCAAGTACCTGTGAGGCAAGTACTGTAACTATCCTGACTCCCCAGGTGAGGAAACAGAGGCTGACACAAGGGTAGTAACTAGTCCAAGGCTGTCATACACTGGCCCCAGGTTGCCTGATCTTGACATCTTAAGAGTATTTCATGTCAAATCTCATCATTTTTAAGAGCTTGTTTTACACTCAAAGTCACGCATACATTTCGTTTCATTCCCCATTCACCATGTCCAACCCTAACCCAGTATCCTCCCCTCTCTACCCTGCAACCCTCCCCCTGTGCCCCTCATAATTATGCACTCCTGTTTGTCCTGCATTTCCTCAGTTT